CACAATTTACATTCCCTGTTAGCAAGCATGGTTATGCTTCAAACACAGATTTAAAATTGCCACTTAGGAACATATTTCCTTAGTTGGTGCCAATAGTTTTCCCATTATTTTTCAATCTGTGCCATAATTTGTTTTATAGTTGAAGTTTTTCTATGTTTACTACTCATAGTTTCAGATAACTGACCAGGAACAAACACATTTTACCATGACTGGATTAAATACCCTGCCCTACCATTTTTTAATATGCCTTACTTCAAATGACCATATCTGACTAGAAAAATTGTCAGATTTTCAATAGTTTCCCCATCTGAGTAATGTTTATTTTGGCAATAATCTGCAATAATAGCAGGACAGAAATCAATCCATCTTGTTGGCAGGTTGAGTACTCATAGAGTATTTTGCCCAACTCATTGTTGCATCCAAATCTGTGTGGTTGATTAAAGCCGAAAAACCAACCAACACAACCCTCCCCCAAATAAAAACAGTAACAAGATAGACACTTAAAAATTCATGTTGCAGGAGCCCTCTCCCATGAGGTCCTGTCAAAGATAACAGCAGTTCTAACTTCCTTGTCAGACTCCTACAGAACCCTGGAGATCTAAGGAAAAGAATTTGGAAACTACTGGTCTAGATTATCTAAAAGTTGTGTGTTTTGTTGTTCAAGATGAGATTTCTTGCAATGAGCCTCTCTCAAGAATTAAACATATTTTCCAAACCACCAAGTATAGTACTCTTTCCAAAAATGAATCTTGGAACAGCCTGCCAGAGCTCAGCAGTAGGGGTATATGGACCACCAAGAAGGATATGCAGTGTATAGAAGAAGCAGAAACTGTGCATCATAAAGGGAAAGGTTTGGTGTTAAACGTTTGGAGATAATTTCTAATTTCAGTTCTACCTAAGGTCACCCATATGCACAAGAATCAACAGAAGTTTGTCTCCCTGAGTTTCTGACTCTATCATTTGCATGCTTTTTATTAGTTGGGTTCAGTCTGTAAGGGAGGGATTTGTTCAGTAAGTTTCTATCATTTGGGCGGCAGGTAAAGTATTGAGAAGATGACTGATATGTCAAGGATCAAAAATCAAGCCACTGGCTAAGAAATTATGTTTCTGATTGATTTACTCTGAAATAACCTTGAACCATTTCACTTGTGCACGTTTGGGTCAAACACAGCTAGTGCCTCAAATGTGAGTGACGAGGTCTTTTCTTATTCACTGGACCTGTTGTCCAGGAGATCAAGTTGGAAGAGAGTTAACAGGTGAAACTATGGCAGGAATAGAATAGGAGATGCAATTTTTCATATCTTGTATGTAAATTAGTCCTATCAAGAGACACTAAAAATGTTCACAATACCATTGCTAATATTCATTTATCACAAATTATTTAAAATGTAATTGATGCTAACACATGGTACTGTTTTCCCTTAGACAGTGAGAAACATAAAATTCTCGTGTGATAAGATCCAAAGTGTGAGTCCTACTAGAATAGAAGACCAGGTAGGCTGGTTTACCATGGAGAGAGGAAACACACAAAACCATATATTCCAAATCCTTTAAAACCGAAAAATAATGGAGATGCTTCATGTCCATCTTGTGTGAACAAGAAGATTCGTGGGCCTATGGGACCTACTAAAAATTAACGTCCCTTCCCAAGTTTGCCAGAGTACCGTACTTCTTACTTACCTAAAATGACCCAAGTGACCACATCTAGTGTCATTTCTCTGCATTTAACCACAGATGTGGGAATATTGTCTCCCTGTGTGCTGCTAAAACGTACATGTAACTTATGAGAAAAGGAAGGACTCTGGGGGACATTCCTAATATTTTTATTCCCATAGTCATATGAATTCAATCCAGCTTGGAAGCTCCAGATACCCTGTGAGAGACTGAGATTGGCAGAATTCAGTGGTGGATGAGAACAGAGGAAGGCTAATGGCAGCAGCTCCTGAGACGGGTAGAGGCAGATTTCAGTAAGTCAAGGCCTTCGCAGTGGACCATAAGACTCTCCATAGCCAAGGCCCTGACTTACTCACTTTTGTATCCTCAAGGCCCTAAATCTAATAAATATACAGTGAATAAACGAACAACTGATAAATACACTATTGTGGGAAGTGGTTACTAATGCATGGAGAGGGAAAATAGGATGAAAAACAAGAATAAGGCAATGAGGTGTACACTTAGCTTACCTTGGCCCTAAGTATTCAGAAGGAAACCAGGACCCAGAAGAAACTGCTGAGTCAGTTGTGGTTTTTCTATGGAACTGAAATCACCCCACAGCTGAGGAGCAAAGAGAAGTGGGAAATGATGGCCAAAGGAGAAAGTGTCCACAGAGGCACTTCCTTCTGGACAAGAGGACCCTATCTTTACTTCTGTACAGTGTTGCTTTTATTGATTTACTCCCTAATGATGTTATACAAAAGGCATAAAAAATCTATTTTTCCAAGTAGAATATGAAGCTTGTCTCTTCATGCTTATGAAAACACACATGAGAAAACACATGTGGGATTAAAACAGTAATCCAAAGGATTATGTTTATTTGCAGTTAGTTGATTTTGTGCACGCATACCTACTTGTCCGCATATGGGTTACGTGTGTCTGTTTCTGTCTTCTATACAACGTTACAGAGAGCATTTGGACCATGAATGAAATTAGTTTTTATTTCCTTTTTAGCCTAAGGTGTAGTTGTATATGTTTTAGCATTTGATTCCATAGCGTGATTTTGTTTTATAGAAAAGGGACAATGTTTGTGAAAGTAACTTTCATGTGAACTTTGATTTTTAACTGTATTTGTAAAGTTTGCTTTTGGAACTTGTAGGGTCCTTTGTGAACCTCCGAGATAATCTCTTTATCCTGACATCTAGAGCTGAAGGGTTTCTTGAGAGTACATATGCTGAATTGTACACTATTTCTTTTTAGCATATGACAGGAGTTGGGTTCTGACTGTATGGTATCTTATTTTGGTTGGTGGTAAAGAAAGAGGGAACCAACAGAAACAGGCAAAGTATCTTCAGATTTTCTGTTGATTCATTGGAGTTGTTTCTTCAGCAGCTGGTGGATTCCCACACTCTTCAAGTGGAGGTAGAGTGATTTCTTGCTTACATATTTAGCTCTCTTTTCCTTTTGCTCTAAAATACTCTTGAAAAATATCCAAACCAGTAGGCTCCTAACTTAATTTTCTCCATTTCTCTCATGTTTTCTGTTTGGCAAATCACAATGAAGGCAAAAGATACACCTTTGTGTAAAGTCTAAGCATTGAATCCCAAGTACTTATCGGTAGAGTGTAAGTTAGTCAGTTTCCTTGCCCTCCACTAGTGCCTGGAATGCTTACAAATCCTTACAAATCCATTCCTGGGCACATTTTTAAAAAGTGAAAAAAAAAATTTTTTTTTAACCTGAAAATCTCTACCCTGTGGAAGCACAAGGGAATCCAAAGATAAGAAAACATGCCTGAGGGTTCCTCAAGTTTTAATCACCTCTTGCTTGTGCATTCAAATAGAAAAAAGTCGTTCAGAAAATGAAGAATTCCTGGCAGACAGACAGAACAGGGCAGAGAAATATGCAAAGCTGGTGCAGCCTGCGGGAACCCAGCTACAAATTCACACTTTAGACCTACCTCAGCCCTTTTGGTGGAAAAGAAAGGAGTCACTCCCTAGCAACTGTTGACGGTATACCGCACTGTCCGTGCTGGTGTGTGCCAGGATCAGGTGTGAAAGCTGAGGAACTCATGTCTGAAGATTCTAGAGCGTGTTTAGAAAGAACAGCCTCCTCCCCTAGCTGTTAGCCGTCAAGTTGTACTGCACAGCCTCGATTTCTCTGTGCACAGATGTTAGCGCACCAGAGAAGGAGAAATGCAACAAATTCCTAAGCGCTTGGGTTGCTTTGGAAGCCTTGGCTTTCTACTGCCGCTGAACATCTCCAGTCCCAGAGATTGCCTGGGACAGCCCTCATCTCTTGTCTCCGGCAAGGCTTCGTCGCCTTGCCCAGCGGTTGCCACTGGCGCCCCCAAGCGCCGCACACCCGCGCGCTCCAGCCCTTCTCTGAGCCTCTTTCCCACAGAAGCGAACCGGACCCTGGGAGCCTCGGGTCTCGCAGGAAAGGCTTCGCATGTAATTCCCAGAGGCTAAGGGGCAGAAAGCAGAACCTCCAAGACTCCCTTGCCGCCCCGTTCATTCCTGTCTGGGATTTCCTCTTTGCAAAGGGGGGAGTTGCCTGGGACAGTAAAGATGCCCGGTAGAGCTGTGAGGTTCAAAGCTCGGAAGGTACTCAGGGGACCCCCATTGCTCCCAGCTCCTCAGAGACGTAGACAAACGCTGCTTCTGTGGTGGGAAGGGGGACTGGAGGGTGAAGAGGAGGAGACCAGAAAGTCCTAAACGCCTCTCAGAGGGAGAATAGGAGCATCTTTCCCCCTTCTCCGGTACTTTTCTTCCCAAAGTCCCATTTGGATCGGTTGGGCACTCCCTGGCGCACCAATACAGTACCAGTCTCACACATCCACTGGGAGGCACAGGCTAAAACCCAACTTGAGCATACACAGACCATTAATGCCCAGATGCTCACTTCTTTCAGTCTTCTGTAGGGCTTTCCCAGTGCTCCTCCAGGAGTCAGGGACTGGAGGTGGGTTGGGGAGGGGTGCTGGCGGTCCCGAAGCGAGGTGGCAGCTCGCCCCTCTCCACTTCCACATTTGCCATCCGTTTGTTTGCAAAGGTTCTTCCATCCTCGGGAGTGGCTGGTTGTCAGAATAATCAGAACCCCGCCTGTTCCTCTGGGGGTGAATCCCATTTCCTCAACTGCTGTCCGGTGGAAGGGCAGTGGGAGGGGGCGAGGGAGAATCAGGCGGGGAAGCCGCAGGGAAAAGCGAAGAGGGGGGCGGGAACGTGGGGGGTGATAGATACGTTTTCACTCTTTGTCACTATTGAATTGGGGGCGGAGGGAAAAAAAAAAAAACCCATTGTGGGAAGCTATAAAAAGCAAAGGGGGCGGCGATGAGAGAGCAGACGCAGAGAGGGAGACCGCGTGGAGCGCAAGACAGTTCCCAGGGCATCGCGGCGTCCCTGGCAGCGCTTGGCTGTTGCAGGGCTGTGAGCCGGAGAACAACGCTTCGGGGCGCCTGTGCGTGCGCGCGTGCGGGACCTTGGTTGGCCTCAGACCTCAAGGGTCTTGTCCGGGGGCGGTTCCTGATCCCCCATATAGTGCCCGCTAACTTTGAAAAGGAGGACTTATGTCCTGCAAAGGTTGAGACATAAGGGGTAGGGAAGGAAAAGAGGAGAGAAAACGCAACAGAGGCCGAAGGAGAAGGAACTAATGTGGACCTCCTGAGCAGCTGGGAGGAGGACTGGACCGCGGAGAACCGGGCGGGACCTCGGAGGTGCGGGGCAAGGAGCAACGGAAGCGGTGCGGGCCGTGGCGCTGGGGCTTCTTGCACCTCGGGTCACGCCTCCTTGGCAAGAAGGCGCCTCGCCTTTGATTGCTTCCAGTTACTGCAGAACTTCCTGTCCTGGCGGAGAAGCAGGTCTTGCTTGGGTCGCGCTCCCTCCCGGTCTGAGGCGTGAGACTGAGTTCACACGGTGCTGGGCCCCCAAAGCCAAGTGGGGTTGGGGGAAACAGAGTCTGCGAGTCCCGGCGCCCCGCGCGTAGGACCCCGTGTTGGGGTCCTCCCTCCCTCTGTACCCGCACCCTTGCGGGCTTTGCCCCTTCCTGGGGACCCCTCGCCAGGCGATGGCCGCGTTGATGCGGGGCAAGGACTCCTCCCGCTGCCTGCTCCTACTGGCCGCGGTGCTGATGGTGGAGAGCTCCCAGTTCGGCAGCTCGCGGGCCAAACTCAACTCCATCAAGTCCTCTCTGGGCGGGGAGACGCCAGCCCAGGCCGCCAATCGATCTGCGGGCACATACCAAGGACTGGCTTTCGGCGGCAGTAAGAAGGGCAAAAACCTGGGGCAGGTAGGAAAATACCCCCAATGCACTCCTCATTAGGAGAGGTAGGGACCGGCGCTCTCCGACACTTCGTTTGCCTTTGCCCCCGAGTGCGCCCCCAGGTGTGGCGCGCAGGACGGCTGGGGAGGGGTTCGCAGATGCACGTCTGCACTGGTGGGGGTGGCTGGGTGACTGCGAGTGCTGGAGGGTGTGGAGCGGGCGGGGGAGGGTACTTTTTCATCTTTGCTTGGGGATATGATGGGCATGTATGGAGATCTAGTGCGTACAGATGGGGGAAAGGGCCGGAATGGTCCTTCTCCACATTTAACACAGTGGATGTCGAGGATGATCTTAATAGCTAACACACAGCAACTGTTATGTGTCATGTACTGTTCTAAGCGTTTTACGTATATTTAATCTTCACAACCCTATGAGCTGGGCGCTGTTACTATCCCTATCCTGCAAATGAACAAACTTAGGCACCGAGTAGAAGCTCTTTGCCCACGGCACAGAGTTACTGAAAGTGGCAGAGCGGGATTTGTATCCGGACAGTCTGAGTCCAGTGTCTGGGCTCTTAACTGTCTCATTTCACAATCCGAAGAGGGAATTTACCGTTTTTCAGGTTCTCCTTCCTTCCCAGCCACTTTCTCATTTCCATGAAGTAAGGTCACATACAGAAGACTTCAATAAACGTGCATTTCTCACTCCTGGATATAAATCATCCTGGAGGAAACAAAATAACGAAGCGACAATAGCAGTATCATAGTTACGGAGGACCAGGGTGCCTGGGAAATAGCAAGGAAAACTCCCGAGGTTTATTTTCCAGAGGGAACTTTCCACGAGCATCTTTGTTTCTCTGTCACACAGACAGATAGATTGACAGTCATGCGAACAGTTACACAAACAGACACAGAGAGACACGAGTGCGCACACTCTGCACCCATTGTGGCCAGCACACAGCGGCCAGGAGAGGGGGCCCTGCGGGCACTGGGAACCACTACAGCTCCCCCTTCCGCTCCTTTTTTGCGAAGCCAAAACCGAAAGCCAGTTTGCCAAGCAGCACGGGCACAGCCACAGCACAACTGTCAACCCGTAAAGGCGGCTCATTGCCCCACAGATCCTGGGTTTCCTTGTTTTATGAGAGGATCCTGCTGCAGCTGCTGTGCACGCTCTCGGCGTCCTCCGCTGCCCCTGCCCCCAGCGTCCTCCACTGCCCCTGCCCCCAGCGCAGGCGGCAGAGCGAAGGTTGACAACCAAGGCTGTCCTGAATGGACAGCGAGGGAAGATTCTGCTCCGCTTGGCCCCCTAGTGCCCTCTCACGGGGAGAGTTTTGCTCGTTTTGCAGTTCCAGAATGCTTCCTGGGCTTTGAAATGTCAAACATTTCAGCTATCCTCTCAAAGGAATACAAAGCCTGCAACCACAGTAATTTTTTTTTTAAGTCTCAAGAGAAATAAACTATACATCTGCATACACACTACATGCATACATGTCCTGTGCATATTCTCACACATGTGTACATATCTCCATCCACACTTACAAGACCACTCTCATTCCGTTTTTCTCTTCCTTGGGAAACACCCTGCCATTTTCAATAGGAGTGGACTTGTCTTAGAAGTCCATAATGTTATGGGTCAAAGATTAGAAAGAAAGGATGCTCTCAGTCCAAGTCATTAGATTTTTTTCTAATGCTACTGACTTCAAATTCAACCTTATCAGTTGCTGAAAAGAGCTGGGTTTAGTTTAGCCAAGAACAGAGGGATGGACCCAATAATCTTTGAGGTTCCTTTTGACTCTAATCCATGTACATTCTGTGTGTTTCTGCAAAGGGCTTTCTGTTTCCGTCACCATTGGGTAACACCTGATGTTCCTCAGTCAAATTATCAGTTATGTCAGCACTGCCGCTAGCCATAGGGTTACATGGGTTAGACTGTGAGATGCATCCCAGCACCTGGCTTACCCTTTATGTTTTGGTAGCATATCTGTATATAAATATGTATAAAATAGGTGTGCTTATTTTTCTATCTCTCCAAATATCTGCTCCTTAAAGAGGTTGTGACTCTGTTTTGCATGTCTTCAAGTTGAAGATTGATTTATTTTATAAATGAGTTGAATTTTTTTTTTTCTTTTTTGAGTTGAATGTCTTGTACGCTTTCCATAACTTAGTGGTCCTATGGAATATATTTCATTACATTCACTTAACTATAATACAGGATCCTTAAAATTTGACATTGGGTTTGTGAGAAAATTACAACTTATTAGAGACAATGGTAACATAGAATTGAAACATTAAGTTGACTCAGTAAGATAGCTGGGAAATAAAAGGATTATCTTTTGTATATTCTAGCTTCTCACTTGTTTATTGGGTGATCTAAAATGTGTACTGTTATGAAGGAAGAAACAGAAAAAATCTTTCTTCTTTGAAGTAGAAAGAGGAATTGTTTGAATATTTATGGCTCTCTTTATCTTCTTTCTTCCACTAGTTATGTGGTTACCAAAATTCTTAGTACTCTTATTTTCAATAATGGAATGGAAATTAGAAAGACTATTCAAAACGGAAGATGCCACATCCTTTTATGGAGAAAAACTTTAGAAGTAAAATGTAGCTGAACTGCATTCTTATCCATCATAACATGATTGATTGAGAAAATTTGTAAATAAGATGCCAACTGATAAAACTAGCTAATTATGTAGTGTCATCCTTAGGCCTATTAAGTCTGGTTGTCTCCCCGTCCCCAATCTTTGATTGATGATACTGAACTGTATGCATTTCAGAGGTACAGGAACCAGAGACTGTAAGATATAACTTCAAGTAGGCATATCAGAAACTTAGTCTTTGGTCTCCTTTTCCTTAAGTGAAAACTGAATAATGGTCTGTTTTTCCTGATTTACTTTCAGAATAGAGAATTAAAATAAAAACTTTATTGCGATTGCAGAAGAAATTACTGAAGAAATTTAATAATTCATTAACCTACAAAAGTGAAAATGAGACTAAATTGGCGCCAGGGTTTTCTTGATTCACCGTAGCTGATTTCATATGAAGAAAACATTCTAATTAGTAGGAATTCTACTTGTCCTGTCAGCAAGGTGAATCATTTGTAAATCACTTCTGGAGGAGTAGCCTTTGAATTTCAGGAAAGATTTAGAGGACGCTCAGAGAAAATGAACTGTTCTCCAGGGGTGTTAAAATTCTCATTCTTAGGTTTGCTTTCAAAGACGCAGTTATGAGCTATGATTGGAAACTGACATCGAAAATTGAATTCATGCAGGTGAATCGATACAGAAGTAGCAAAAATTATTTGGCTGAATTATTCACATTAATGTTTTAATTTGACTTTCCTTTTGCATCTATTATTAATGTGTTTTAAAAGGTAGTGTGTGTATTTATATGGGATAAATTAGATTGTAGGACTGTTACTAACATATATATCAATATTTATATATCTCAATTTCTAAAGAGACTTGCAAATTTTCTAAATCAAAAGTATTATTAAACAAAATATTCAATATCATGCACTTAAATATATTCTGATCAAGTACATTGTTGTTCAACATCACCTCTGGAGCGTGAGGTATCAATTTTTACAGGCCACCTTAAAGACAGATTTTTAAAAAATAAAGCAATTTATAAAATTAATTTACCCCTGAAATGAACAGTGATTTTTCTTTTTTGAGAATGAAAAACCTTTTGAATGTGTTTGTAGTAGCTTCTTTTAGTCTTTACCCCTTACTTCGTCTTAGACTGGCAGATTAATTTGAACGCAATGCTGTATGATTTTGAAATATTTTTAAAAGTTATGATGAGAACTGTGGAAAATGATTATATTTTAAAGGTAGATAAGCTTCCTGGCATGTGTCTCCAAAATGAAGGTGAAACTGGTAATGTAAATTCAGATTCCATTATTTTCTGATATAACTTTGATGCTTGAAGGACGGTGGTTTGGATGAAGTTATGTTGTGAGAAAAGAACGCCTGACATACATTGAAACAGAAGCTTGAGGACGTTGCTTAGAGAACACTCATATTTGTATATTGCATTTTCTTTAATAAAAATGCTGTATCTATTGGCATGCAAAAACACTCATAAATATGCTCATTGAAAAAACTATATACCCTATTTTCTGTAGGTGATTTCTTCACTTTCTAAAATTATCCATGACTTTTTTTTTTTCTTAAAACCCCAGTCCAACTTTCCCCTGCTAGAGGATAAATATTTGCTACCTCCTCTGGACATCAACTGACACTAAACATAATCAGGAAAGAAAATCAGTTTTTAAATTAAATGTTTCAAAATAAAAAAATATTTGAACTAATCTACACTACACTACTTCTTTTCTTTCACTGTGGATAGTAGAGAATTGACGGTTGATACAAGTGAAGGTTACCTCGTGAATAGCAAGCAAAGTATTTTAATGATAATCTAAGTAGGGGTATCCATCATTTTATTTCTGTGCTAGAGGAGAGAGAGTAAAGGACAAGGTTACTTAAACTCACTCCATCTGTGACTTTGACCCTACCACAGTCTTCCTTAGCGCTCCCCTCTGATACATATTCCTTCCTGGGATGTTTCAACTCTTACAATTTTTAAAGTAGAGAAAGCAACGTAATAGAAAGGTAACATGTATTCTGTTCTAGGAGAATATTGCTGCTTCCTCTTCTTTTCCCTGCACAATCGTTTTGTGTACATTAAAATGATCTGTTAAATTATAGAGGCCTTTATCATACTCAATATATTTACTATTTTAGACTCAGTCTCTTCTGGCTGTTCATTCTTTGGTATTGATGTAACATTGAAATGGATTACAATCTTATTTCTGTCTGTGACTCCCTGAATGCCCTTTTAAGTCGTTTTATTTCGTTATACCTCTAGTCACTTGTACTCATCCATGAAAAGGAGATAAAGCTGCTCCTAGTTAATTATTCAATCATTGAAAAGATTTATACGATATTTATATTCCTCTTATTCAGTCATTTTTAAAAAAAATCTGAAGCAGCCCTCAAAACAAAATTAATAAAAATTAATAGATAG